CAACAGAAATGCTCACAACAATGAAAACCTCGGATAGGAAGAAGAGCGCCGCCGGGTGGGCAGGCAGGCGTCTTGCTCGGCTGTGGCTTGGGGGGCACTTTTTTCAGTGCCATTGTAACTTCGAACAGTTACTAAGCGAACTGTTGTAAGTCGAGGACTGCCTGTACTTTATCCCTTTTTTCCTTTTTTTTAAATGGGTCATCAAGTTTTTGACACCTTGCTAGGCGACTGGTGGTACTCGGATATTGCCATCTCCTAAAAGTGGTACAATGAGTGAAAAGGTTGAAAAGCCCTGCTATACACAATCCATCGCTTGCTCTAGTATTAAGTATGAATTAGTATTAAGAGGAGTTGATTTCTCTGCTCTTCTGGGAAAGCCATTTGTAACACAATTAAAGCCTGCCTTAATCTGAGGGACAGATGGAATGCTTGGGCAATTAAAATTCAGTCTTGCGGAACCCTGTTTTGAAGAGATTGAGGAAAGAACGTTCATACACTACCCACTTACTATATATCCAGTTTCCAGGTAAGATTGGAGAGAAGGCTAGATTTGATTTTAAAAAGAGACAAAAGAAAGAGAGAAATTGATTAGACTCACAATAATGAGGTTTGCAACTCCACAGCATACAAGCCAGGACTCTATATACCAAGTTTTGTTTGGTTGAGAGGATAATGAAATTAGAACTATACTGAAAATACTTTAAAAACATGTGATCTGGATTTCTAAAATAGGTCAACCTTGATTTGTCGCTGGCTGTAAACATTATACAGGTCAATAAGAGCATGTTTGGAAAATAATTGCTCCACTCTTTGCTCTATTTTGCTGGGCATATGACGACCTACTGATGACTGTGCGAAGATTATTCCTGTATAAACAGTTTAGCAGATTCAGTTGCAAAGAAGAAAACACTGCACTTGTGAATCTCTCAATAGTAATAACAACAAGTCTTCCATGAAGGGAAACCCAACTGTCTGCATTTGAGAAACATAATCTGAGGACCCAGCAAACACCTTCAAAAATGGCCCCCAAAACTTATGTGCTAATGTTGCTAATGTGAAAGAAGGAAATGGTTATTAAATACATGGAAAATAATTATGTTAATAAATATAATTTAAATTAAAATATTTAAAATTAAACGTCAATTAAAGTTTATTTTCTTTCTACCCACATTTGAAGAATGTATCTGGCATGCCACTCAAACAGCTAATGCAGCCTCTGGCTGAAAAATATGTCCATCCTAGTATAGGTACTGTGGACCTTATGTCTTTTATTATATAGGAGTCCACTGTTTCAGGAAGCTGTCCTTTAGATTTATTTAATTATATACTTTCTTGGTTTTGCTCTTCAATTTTCCCTTGTAAATTGAAGATATAAAACATTTTTTTAATCTTTACGTATCTCTTTCCGATTCGTCCTTTATTTTTTCCCAAGAAAATATGAACACTCTAAGTATAGGTCAGCTTTGTTCCCACTTTATTGCTGTCAGTTTTACTTCAGCTACGTAGTGAAAAAAGCTGGGATTTCAACTAATTTTTGGATGATAGATTCAACTAGCTAGCTGTTTTGGATATGGTATTAAACAAAAACCATTCAAAGGAACAGAAAATTCAAGAGCACTACAGGCTGAGTTGTCCTGACTGCTTTTTTTTTTGTCTCATTTCCAAGAAAAGGTTAGTAAACTTTATGCATGTATATTAAGGCAGATGGGTTTTTTATGGCACAGTTATGTAAATATTGCAACTGTATAATATTCCCCTTCCACCGAGTCTACGGAGTTACATGCTTCGCTGCTCATGATCCTGCTCTGATTCTGCATAGAGCAGAATGACAGTTTCCTGTTGCCAACGCTGCACTTTTGTGCTTTTCCCCTACTGAATATTAATGCTTACATCCCTTGTGTGGCAAATTATAATAGATGAGCAAGCCACTGTTTACCCCAATGGAACTCCATTTCGGGTACAAAGCTGCACTGGCTCTAGGCAAGCACTGCCAGCATGTGGTTCCCTTGCTTGGACGCAGGCGGCTACGCATCAGTCCTCACCCTTATTACTTGCAAGGCTCCTTGCTTCACCTGGACCTAATCTTTTAAATTCTATTATTTCTAAAAACAAACAGGAAGCTGCAAAACAAAGCATCTGCTGCCAAAGCCCTTTTGATTTTCAAATATGCATCTGGATCCACATTGGCACTATAAGTACACTCAGAAATAATATTGAAGGGATTTCCAAATATAGATTAATAAAGTCTGGGCTCATAATACACTAGATTTAACTTTGATCGAAAAGAAGGTGTGGGCAATACCAGGGGATAGCAAAATATACACAAAGAATTTGGAGAAAATCCCTATCAAGAATTCAAAATCAAAACTGAAATTTGTTGTTGTTAATTGCGAAGTCATGTCCGACCCATCGCGACCCCATGGACAA